GATTGAAGGGTCCTGGGTTTGATTCCGGTCAAAGGGTTGCAGACTCAATCCCTAGTCAGGGGCATGCAGGAGGCAGCCAATTACTGATTCTCTCTCTCGTCATTGATGTTTCTATCTTTCTCTCCCTCTCCCTTCCTCTCTGAAATCTATAAAAATATATTTAAAAAATAATAAAGTACATTATGACCCAGCAATTCTACTTCTGGGAATTTATTCAAAGAAATCCAAAACACTAATTCCAAAAGATATATGCACCCCTATGTGCATTGCAGCATTATTTACAATAACCAAGATATGGAAGCAACCTAAGTGTCCATCAATAGATGATTGGATGAAAAAGAGGTGGTACTTAAACAATGGAATATTACTTGGCTATAAAAAATGAAATCTTACCATTTGAGACAATAGGGATGGACCTTGAGGGTATTATGTTAAGTGAAATAAGTCAGACAGAGAAAGAGATATATCAATTTATTTTATTTGTATGTTTAATTGAAAGCACAAAATAAACAAACAAAACAGAAACAGGCTCATACATACAGAGAACAGACTGGGAAGGCGGGTGGAGGGCTGGGTGAAAAAGGTGAAGGATTAGTAAGTACAAATTGATAATTACAAAATAATCCTGGAGATGTAGAGTACAGAATAGAAAATAGAGTCAATAATATTGTAATAACTATGTATGGCTCCAGGTGGGTATAGGATTACCAGTGGGATCATCTAGTAAAACATATAAATATTTAACCACCATGGTGTACACCTGAAACTAGTATAAAATAATATTGATTGTCAACTGAAATTGAAAAATAAAAGTATTAAAATTTCAAAAATGTGACTAAATAACCAAAAAAGGAGAAAGCTTTCTTTTAAGAGCAGTTCCCCTACAATTACACATTACAGGAGATCTTAGTAATCAGTTGTGGCAAACATATTTTTTGGGTTATTTAATTAAAAAGGGAAAAAAGATAGAATTCCTGCTTTATATGGAAGTTTTTGGTCACAATTATCATCATATTGATGAACAAAATAAAAAAAGTAGCTCTGATTACAGTGAAGCTATTTTTCATTTTTTTCTTTAGTTATTCAGAATTATATTGTGCCTTCGACATGTTTCTGATGATGCACTACTAAATGTGAAGGAACAAATCGCAGGAACACCCCATGGCACTTTTTAAGGTAAGAATTACTTTGTTACAGCCAGAAGTTAAGATTTCCTGAAACACCAAGGAATTCTGATTAACCCCAGGTAAATGCCAGGTCAATTATAGAATAAAAATTCAAGTTATGCTATACCAGCTCCATTAGAACATAATACTGGATTACCAATTGAGTTAACATATAGAAATCACAGTCTCCATCCTGTCTCTCAGCTAAGATTAAAGTTGGCTGAGCTCTTTTTATATTTCCAGCATTTATTTTGACCTCAAATACCTCTCCTTTGTATTTTGTTTTCTTCCCTCCTTACTATCTACACTAATAAAAGAGAAAAATGGTAATTGGCGTACGACGCTACCCTTTTCATTGGCTAATCAGGGCTATATGCAAATTAACTGCCAACTCAGATGGCAGTTAACTGACAACAAAGATGGCAGTTAATTTGCATATGTAGGCACAATGCAGGGAGGCAAAAGGGAAAGCAGGAAGAAGCCCCCTGCCACTGACAATGCCTCCCAGCCATGATCAGAGAATCAGGCGCCTTTGCTGCCCTGGCCAGTGATAGCAGGAAGTAGGGGTGGAGCCAGCGATGGGAGCTGGGCACGGTCGAAGCTGGCAGTCCTGGGAGCTAGGGGTCCCTTGCCTGGGCCTAAAGCAGAGCCCACAATCACGGGGCTGCTGCAGCTGTGGGACCCCACTGCCCGGGCCAGATGCCTCGGCCAGAGGCGATAGGCCTGGGCAGGGGCAGAGCGGGAGATCGCGGGGAGCTGGGAGTCCCCTGACCAGGCCTAATGCCTTGGCCAGAGGCATCAGGCCTGGGTGGGGGGCGCG